GACTAGTCTGGTCAGCCCAACACTGGGTATCATGTACCGTAAGGTCATTTTCAAGGCAAAGACCCCATATGTCCAAAACTAAATGTGGCGCAGTTTTTTGCCAACATTGTATTACTGTATTAGGTCATATCATTATTCAAAATTCTTTTTTTCATATGGTTTATACATTTACTATATAGTCGCATCTACTATATAAGTTGCGAAATAGCTTATCTACTATATAGCTTATCTACTATATAATCTTATCTACTATATAATCTTATCTACTATATAGTCGCGAAATAGTTTATCTACTATATAGTCGCTATCTACTATATAGTCGCGAAATAGCGTATCTACTATATAGTCGTGAAATAGCTTATCTACTATATAGTCGCGAAATGGCACATCTTTGCGCGTTATTTTATCCATCTATGCATTATTTCGCACCTAATGAATGGAAATATATCAAATTCGCCGATACATTTTACACAAAGTGCGCGTTATTTCTACATGAACATGAGCGTTAAAAGAAAAAAAAGGTGATACGATTAGGTACGATTATTTTTAAAAAAATTTTATTATAAATCAAAAAAAAATTTTTTTCTTTTTTTTTTGTTAGTAGCAAAATGGATTACTTAGATTACTATTACAAAAAAACATGAAATTTTGATTAGTCCATTTTATATATGTGCGGTTTTAACTAGACACGTACATATAATACATACAGTACACACAGTATTGGTATTTATGACTGATATAAAAATAGAGAACTTTATCAAAAGATCAAACCAAATACAATATTAGGACAAAGTGAGCCAATTATACACAATTACACAATTAATTGGTTTGTAGAATAAAGATTTACAAATTTAATCATTTTTCATTAATGTCATACTCTTTTGAAAAAATTAATCTATAATGCGATGCAATATATACCAGAATTAATGTAATGTTCATTAGACATTATAATTGACCAAGAACATAAAAATCTATTATAAACAAGTGATATTAATAATGTTATAAAACTTCTTTACTACTTATCAGCGGCTCTAAGGTCAACTTCAACAGCAGTATCAGCTGGAACACCATTAGATAAAACATATAAATAGGTACTTTTTCCTGGAGGCATTATATTTTCATTAGGTGGCATTGTAACGTCTATGGCGTATCCCTTATCAGTTGGAATAACGCTTTCAACTTTTAAAACAACCATTCGTTGTGACATATGATTTGAATGTGTAACAAATCCATGATGTATCAAACATGCAGAGAATGTTGCTCCAGATTGCATGTTTAAATCCACCAATATTGTAACAACTTGGTTATAGTGTACTACTGTAGTATTTAGACCATTCATAGACGTGGATCCTGCCACGGATTTCATTGTAGCACGAGGAGCACCAGTTAATAAGTATGGTGGTGTGAATTTTTCAACTCGATACCTTTATAAAAAAATATTAGAACAAAATAAAAATAAAAAAAAATAAAAAATAAAAAAGAATACACATACTCTGTTGGATATTCACACGTAGTACAAGGAGGAGAATTAGGATTACTTCCTGACACAAAGACTGTTCCGTCTGGCAATAGAAAAGCATTTGAATGATAAACTCTAACTATGGTTGACGCAGCTAAAGTAGTCCATCGTGATCCATTGTTTGCCAATGGATCATAAAGAAATGGCGTTTTTATAGGGTTTTGGGCCGAATGAAGTCTATTAGTAGTTGATCCTTGATCTAGAACAAATTCACAAATTATTATTATTATTATTATTATTTCATAATATTGATATTAATATTATTATTTCATAATATTGATATTAATATTATTATTTCATAATATTGATATTAATATTATTAATTATTGCTATTATTATTAAGGTTAAATGTCAACAACAATTATAGTAATAGTAAGAATTAAACATACCCCAACCAGCAAATCCACTAGCAGCACCATTTATATACAATACTTTTCCGTTAGGCATTAAAATAGCGTCAGGCATAACACGAGGTTGAGCCGGACTTCCAAAATCTTCAGTTTCCCAAGTAGCATTATCTTTACTTAAATCGATCCTTGCACAAGTAGCATCAGCAGGAGTTTCAGGTTTCAAATCAAAAGAACCACCACAAAATATTATCTTAGCAGCATAGTTATCAGTATAATTTAATGGTAATAATGTAGCAGATCCTGTTAATGGGTAAGTACGTGGAGAACCAGGGACATCGGGTAATGTTTTTATTACTGTATGAGATACATAATCCCAAATTTGTGCCTTTTTATTAGCGGACATAAAAAGCCAATTTTGGCCTACAGGTCCAGGAAGAACTATGCACACCGGGTAAAGATTGTAAGGTATTCTTTTTTATGAAATTAAATATGTTAATTGGGATAAAAGTTATTATTATAATCTAAATAATATAATTTATACATAATATAATTTGTGTTTATAAAAAAAAAAAACAAAAACTTACGTATCAACAAGAAATTGTATGGTTGTTGGAGTATTATTGCCATGGCTTGGGAAAAACTCAAAAGTAGGATTATTTATTTCTTGTGTATTTGCATTAGTAGCTTTTGTACATCCACCAAAATTCATTACGCGACCATCAGGTAATCTGTTAAAAAACAAATTAGAATAATAAATGAATTATAATTATTTCAACCATATTATTTATTATATATTACGGAACGTAATGAATGTAATTAGTAGTAAAAATATTTACCTAACCATAGTATTATACCACCTAGCAGTAGTCATATAATTTTTATAGTCAGCCCAATCACATGTATGATCATCACACCCAGTGAACATACGTAGAGATTGGCTTCCAGCGCCTATAGTACCAACGATTACATCACCACCAGTTTCAATTAATGTGCCATTTGGCATAAAAGCACCGGCAGAGCAAAAGGTATTAGTATCCAAGTTAAGTACTCGATACTTGTTGGTTAATAAATCGTATTCAGATGAAAATGCGCTTATTCCATTTGCAGTTTGAGCAACATTTAGTTCCACTATTTCATAAAATTAAAAAAAATGTGTTAAAGACAAATATAAAGATGAACTTAATATATATATTATAATCATGACTAATTTTATGAGTTAAACTCAATCTTGTAGAATAAAAACCTCTTCGAGTGAAATATTTATATAAAAAAAAAAATATATTTAGCTCACAGAATAAATCATGATATTATCTTACCTCGATCAATAATTACAACTTTTGTTGGCCGAACAAGAGCTACGTGCATAGCACCTACTCCAGTTCTTTTGAAAAATAAAAATCAGTAAGGCAAGTTGTATGTAAACGCTAGTAGACTTAATATTATAAATACTTACTCTCCTATAATTTCGAAAGTCCCAGCTGGCTGGTCTCTCTCCTCTAAATTTACTGGATTTGCATTAGTGTAATTAAATAAAGTGATAATGGATAAAAGTAAATGAAGTAGACCCAAAGCTAGCTTCATTATTAGGGAAAAGTAATTGATGATAACTTTTTTTTTTTTATTTTAAAGAATGTTAAAAAAACTATATCATATAGAGGAGGGAGCTTTAAATCAACTATATTTTTTTCTCAGAAAAAAAACATTATAAGAAAAAAAAAAAACGAAATTCAACTTTATTGCAGACATTGATGCATTTTATGTTACGAAGTGCTACGTAATATAAATTGTTTTTTTCTATAATTATTTTCTTGATAAATTAATACGTAGTATTGGTAATACATGAAAAAGAGAAAACCGAACATGCAGGAATTTATGGTAATATACTTTGTAAGACAAACAAGAAGTAATTTAGCATAAAATGGAAACTTGTAATTAACACATTCTTCTTTAGAATTGTGGCGCAAATTAGGTACGTACATACCTACCCGTTTTACGGGTGCCAAGAAAAAAAAATAAAGTAATCTAAGATTTCATTTCAATGTTTTCCCCATATGGCACCGGTATCGATCGATCGATAACTATATTTGAATACAAATTTTATTAATCTTTAAACATCAACTATGTCAAGAAAATATACCAGAAAACAGATATTATCAAATGATCGGTGCTAAAAATGATAATTGGTTTTTATCATTAATTAGGATCTCCTTAATAAATGCATGATCCAAGATATATATTAATGCGTTTGAAAAATGAATCAAACGACTTTGTTATTATTAATTCATTATTAATAAAAAATGCACAAATATTATTGATGACCTTTATTGGTGAATATTTTCGACTATAACTACGTCCGATATGTACATACATACGTACGTCCGATATGTACATGCCTACGTATATAGTATGCATGTACAGTATATACATACATATACATATACAATACGTAATTTCATATTTTAAAACCCGTATTTGCATGGGTCTGTTTAAAGTAATATTACAATATAGTAGATTTGTGGCTGCAGAATTAGCTTAGCTTCCGATACTAATTAAGGAACAAAATAAAGATTATACGTATGCGATAGAACTAATTTGTTTAGCTATTTAATATATCCTTCTTAATTAGTACCAGAAATTTGAACTTTCTAATTGTCTTTTTCAATTGGTGCTAACTTGAATTAAAAACTTTACCATAAAAATCATAACTAATTGCTTCTATATTAGTTAACAGAATAGCTTAACCACGTCTATGTCAGTTAAACAAAGTAGCTTAGCCACGTCTATGTCAGTTAAACAGAGTAGCTTAGCCACGTCTATGTCAGTTAAACAGGGTAGTTTAACCATATCTATGCCAGCTAAACAGAGTAGCTAAGGCTGATCCTTGGTCTTTGCTCGTAAATGTAGTGTGACTTACAATATTAGATATAGAATGATCGTTTTCACAATTCCTTAAGAATTTTTATTTAGACTTTGTCCAAAACAAGTTAATTCAAGGACCGAGTTAAACGTAGCTATCTGCATATTTGCATAATATTTAACTTGTGCTCCAAATTTTTCTTTTATTAAATAAAGACTGATTAAGATAACAAATATTTAAAATTTCGCATAATGGTTATTTACTAATTGCCATATTTGAAATTTGGCTGTGAACTTTATTGCTATGTATTTTTGTTGCTGAGGAATCCTAAAAATAGGTTATAAAATTTATTTTTGAAATTGCTGGTTTTTTTTTATCATTATTGGCACTCAATATTTTCATGAGTTAGGTTAGGCTTGTTTTAAAAAAAAAATAGTATGCACTATACAAATTAGAAACATTTACAAGTAAATATTACTACATAAAAATTAGAAACTTTGCCAAGTGAACATTACTACATAACTAAGAAAGCAAATTACAAAAATTCACATTTAAAGCACTATACTATGAGATTTTGAATTTTATATAAAAATTATCTAACAATTTCTATTCTATTTATTAATCATCAAAAAGATTCTGATTTTTTTCAAAGATCTTATCATCTAAATATTTTTCACTAAACCACGCTCTGTTTGTATTTCCTCTAACCATCTTCTTACTTTTTGTTTATCTATCTCATGTTCTTTATCCTCAATTTCTGTTTCTTGAAAATTTTCACTTTGTTGATTAAAACTGTTGTTAAATGGAAGAGAATCATTCCTTTCTTGTTGTAATGGTTCACTAAGTCTAACAATGATTCCACAATCAATAGTTTGATGTTGGCTTAAAATTGTATTCATCTCGTTGGTGAGTGCGTATTTCTAACAAATATAATATATACATACATAATAGTTGATATTATTTAAAATAATTTACAAATAAAAAATATACAGTAAAATAAAAAAGATAGCTACAAATTTGCCCATATAAACTAATGCTCTATTAAATCTTGCAAAATAATAGGAAGGTATTTTGGTTAAAGGTATATAATTGTTATTTTCGCGAAATAAAGTAATTAACTTCAGTTTCGTTTCCACAGCTTCAATATTGTCAACATATCCTTTTCGTTTCGCATCAGGAATATTACGCGGTCGAGCAGTAGGCATCATAAAAGTGCAAATTGAAAAAAAAGAATATTTATTTAATGAAAAATGTGTATGATTGATGAAAAAGTTATAAATAAACTAAAAAGATATTTTTATGCATTTTAACTTCTAAATATAATGATTTAAGCTTCATTTTTCAATAAACTTTTTGAATTACTACTATATAGTAAATCAACGTCTCAACTTTTAAATCTCAATTTTATAAAATTCAATTTTTATAAAGTAATCAAATGTTAAGAGTAATAATAAAATAGATCTTTGAAGATACTGTATAAATGATTCATAAAAATTATTCATAAAAATTAAACTGGCATTCTGAAATAGAAACCATTATGATGTAAATGTGGTGTATTTATACTTGCGCATCTATTATATCATTAGTACATTTCAGCGCTCAAGCCTTGACAAAGTTTTTAATGAGGTCTGTATCTAAGAACTATTAATGAATAAATTTGCATTTAAGTAATAAGTAATTTAGAGTCATTCCCAGCGTGTTTATCGAAAGACCTGATTGGTTGAAAAAAATGATCGTGATTATCACTTATTCATGGATATTGCAGTATTGATATTGATAGACATTTTCTTTCGTAATATGGATCTTCAAAAGCGTCGTCGATACAAAATTACTATGTTACTCTTCATGCTAGAAACTCTTAATGCATATACTTCGTTGTAACGTCTGAACGTCATTAACCAATTACATTGAGACTTTAATCATTTGTTGCATTTGTTGTTTAGGATACGCAACTCTATACAACTTTACACAACTCTACGTGCAAGTATCAGGTAATACGTCGATTTATTCTAGAATAAATTTGCATATTGTCCATATTGTCTTGAAATTTTACGTACATATTGCTATTATGAAATTAATACCTGTTCAATCAAGAGGTTATACGTACACCTTTATCGTTATGTTATTCCTTTATACTTATTCATTTATCGTTGTCGCTATGTATTTTGAAATTGCAATTTCAGGCGTTTGGAGTTGCAATTAGCCAATGAAATTAGATCTTTTTGCACTTCAGTCACGACATATTAATGAATAAAAACCTGCAAGGGCAATTTTTAATGTTAACCTCTAACCCTAATAAATTGATATTATGTAATGTGTGTTACAAATACTATCGAAACAACTAGAACAATGATTGTAACATCAGATTCTTTTTCTGATACACTTAAATTTTCACTTACAGGTTTTTTAACTTTGTGTAATATTTAAATCAGAGAATCTAGAAATGTTTGCTGAAACAATTTGGTCTTTGTAGCTGTCATTAGATATCGATATTTAACTTATTTACTATATAGTCAAATTCGATTAAATTGTATACATATTTGTGCTTTTTTATTTTATCATTAACTTTTTGCCTTTTTTGCAATAATTGCAAATCAAAGGCTCTTATTAAACTTATTAGGTATTATGATAAAGTATAATAATTATCAACAAAGATTTAATAAAAAAATAAAATCTGAAACAAACAAAGCTTGAGAAACCAAACAGGAATTATCGATAGAGATCTCCGAGAACTGTTCTATATAATATTTCTATAAGCAAAACCATCAAATTCTTTGTCGTTATATTATCAGTGCATTCATATATAAATATCCTGTTGGAATTTTTGATAGATATGACAACTCATTCTTGCTGGTTTTTTTTTTTTTTGTTAGACTAGGATTTAAATTAATAGAATTTTTGTAGGCTTAAATGGAACCAGCCTCAGACACCACGATCGTTAATCTAAAAAAATAAATATCGAAATTGTTAGATACTACGATGCTTATCACGCAAGGCTCTTATTCCCGATTATACGCTTCCAAAAAGCAAGTAGCATCGCTAGCACTTTCCAAAGCCAGTAGAAACAATGTTACTCTGATTATTTCAACATTCTCCAAAATTATCTAACATATCCTTAACTAGAGGTATTTTCATAAGTATATAAATAATGTCTACTTTCGGTTTATATAATCATATAATATGTCCAGTTGTTGGTCGTTATAACCAGCAATGTGTATAACTAGGGACGGGAAATCATAAACTTATACACAGCTTCACATGATTTGTAGTGGGCATTATACTAACTGACCAAAAAATTGTGGGTACTAGTCAAAATACTGCAGGCCTTTTACTGTACAGCTGCGCATATGCCGACAAGGATGCCAGTACAGACACACAAATGGTGTAGAAACTATTTTGATACCTCCCTAAAGTATATCGGCATTGATTGTTGATATAAAGTTGCCGAAAGTATTGTGGTAATTTAATAGTTCCGAAATACTTTCGGCAAATCTACAATAATTTCTACATCATGTATATATAGTACAGACAAATAGATGACAAGTCAAAGTTTATATTTCCGATAAGATTTATTGACACCAGTATAGTGTGATAACTCATGATGCGTTCTAGTATATATCTATTAAGGAAAGCAAAAACGTTCACAAATCACGGCTATCGTAAATATTTTAATGAGGTTAACAGACGCACTTAATTCTCTAAAGAAAAGGATACACTACATATTCATTATGTGGAAAAGAAATACACCCAATCAAACTTCATTAAAGCAAATTGGCTTCGTTTTCTAATTAAAATGCGTTCTTACTAATATTATACTTTTACTGTATATAGTAAATTATACAAAAAAATATAATCAGGCAAAATTTTAAGAACAAATCGATTAAAGCATTTCTTTAAAAAAGTTTTTTATTGTTTAAAAACTAATTTAACAGTTAAATAGTCAATCATCGTCTATCGATATCAATTATAAACTATATACCGAGTTATATCTCAAAGACTGCCTAAATGATTAGTGTTTGGTGCTCTAAGTAAAAATGTTCAGCACCTCAAACAACCTCCATTTTAACCCCTAGTTCTAATCTTGTCTTGACCTATAGCAAAACCCTAATCCTAAATTTTAATACGTAGTAAAATTATACCGTATGTGATGTGTAGCATTATTCTAAAAAATATTTATAAAAATGAATTAACATGCTTAATAAATTACCAAAAAGGGTTGCAATAGATACTGCCACGTGAGTTCAATGCTACAGTACGTATCATTATTTACAAATTGTAAGTGAACTAAAAAAAATTAGAAATTTTATTTCCATTGTCATATAACAATGGTAAAATAAACTCTATCAATTAAAACTAAATTTTTATGTACATATACACTTTATTTAGCCTAATGTAACACCACAAAAAATAAAACTAATATAAAATTTCATAAATAAAAACTACATCCTAATTTTTTTAACAGATTATCAAATTTGTTGTTTTAAAAGATTAATTAATCATTAATCCTCTTTCAATGTTAACCTCTTCATCATTTCATTATTCCTTTATAAATAACATATCAATTGTTTTGATCGCTGCGTGCTCGAGAAGTGAGAGGTGACCGATCATGATCATGATTGTCTTCTTCATCACTATCTCCAAAATGGTCGATATCCTCTGAATTTAGCGGAGTCTCAATAACAAGTTCGGTCCTGTTTTATTGATAATTTAATATGAACGTTATTGATTTAATAATTATGAAAAGGATCAAAATATAGAATAATGCGTACATTTCACTGTCTGAACTCCCTACGGTAGCTTTCATCACTTGACTAGTACTCTTCCTACGTCTAAACCTTCCACGAAATACAAAGACTGCCAAAGCAATAACACCACAAATAACAACGATGAGTGTGGCAGTTCCACTAAAAGTTTTTAAACAAAAAATTATTAATAATAAATAATTATCGTAATTTATTCAAAATTACAATAAACTAGGAAATCTGAATATGATCAAGGTCCGAAGCAAATGCGTAGTTGATCGCTAACAGCACATCTGTTACATTAATTTCAGATCCCTCGTAGGATCTGAAATTCTCTATTTTTTCCGTTGGAAATTTCGTGATCGTGCTACGTTTCGGACAACAAAAGACTTACGCATTGTAATATCGATTCAATATTTCACTATCTTCACCATTATAAATCGTGCCATTTGGGTTCGAAGTTGGAGTTGTGGTGTCGGAACCCAACTAGAGCATAGCAACGAAATTAATTTAAAGCTTGAACATTTCACGTAATATCATTTACAATAATAAAATACCTTGAACTTGGACGAATATTTTGTTTCAATATGTTTATCTATTCCAATAAACCAATACATCATGGACATACTAACTCCAGGTTCATCATAAGGTACCATATGACTAGCGTTGTGAACTACCATATATGTAAGATTTCTTTCTGACAGCATATGTCCAACAAGTTTATCATTGACAAACCAGTGATTTTCAGTAAGATCCTGTGCGCAATAATACGAAATAAATAAATTGTATTATACAAAAATATAAGGCACCAAAAGCAAATAAATCAACCTTAAAACCTTTAGCTCCATTCCACTCCAACCCCTTTATCATATCTTCGATACCGTTTTTGTTACAAATAAGATCCTGATCTCCACTATTAAAATTCAGATGAATAAACGATTAAATAATAATAAATGATATAAGATAAATATTATGCATATACATACATGTATAACAAAACATTAATTTGTTTTAAAATAGAAGGCAATAACTACAGCATTATATAGGCACATATATAGTGTATTGAATATTAGTAATAAACTTACAATTAAATACAAGAAACCTAATTTATTTACCTGAACAGCAGGTGGACTTGGATCATTATCAAAGCCATGACCTACTCCACTATTACATTCTGTCCAGCCGATTTGTTGAGCGCTAGCATGAATTGCTCCGATAACGTCAGAACGCTAACGAATAGTAGATATTTACCAGAATTGAATTTCATAACTAAATACGAGCATAAAAACTATTTATTATAAATTCTTTCATTACCCGTAAGTATGCGGAAACAGTTTTAAGATCATAAGGCCATGACGTTCCACAAGAAGGGTATGAATCAGAATGATCTCGGATATCATATTGATTTATACATGTTTCATTATTTCCAACGCTAGAAGAAAATTAAATATTCAACATATACTAACAAACAATTTATACAATAAACTAAAAAAAAAAAAAAAAATACCGTTTACGCGAACTTTTCAAAATTACTTGAAGAATTTGCTCACACTCATCTAAATGAATTCTGACTTTTTCTTTTTGTGCCTTCATGCAAGTATCAAGCTTGTCTTTGGCAAGAGCCTGTATACAATAAACTACTAAGTCATTGCAATTCCAGATTCATCCAAAATACTAAAATTATATACCTTATTTTCTTCATCCAAGAGATTATGTTCTACGGCAAAGGTATAATATGCATTGTACTAATATTATATTTATGGTTAGGAAAAAAGCAATTGATAAAAATTATCACATGCATATATATATATATATGCACCATACTTGTGTGATAGGGTCAATCCATCCATTACCAATCGCTATTCCTTTGACATTATACTTAAGATTACAATATATTGTATTAATAGAAGCCAGATAAATTATGAATATGAATAGATATCTTCCAAGATAGTTTTTTTCTTACCTTCAAATTAATAGAACTTTTTCTTTCACTATTACGCTTTAAGATTGCCGAAGCTATGTAAGGTATAAAGGTACCCGCAAAACTTTCACCAGCAATATATATCTTGAAATTTATAAATACAAAAATATAAGAGTACAATTATTATTATAATTAGCTAGCCATTTAATAAAAAGAATACTTCTGACATACTTCATCTTTAGAATATTCAGGAAAAATTTGAAAAAATTTATCAAGGAAAAGTAAAAATTGGCTAGGAATCTAAAAAGAAAAAGAGATATTAATATTATCGTTTACAGATCAATTGTAACCTAATAACAGTAATAATAGTATTCTAACCTGTGTTACATTATGTAAATAACTATCACTATTAGCAAAACTGAACCCAGTCCCAATAGGCTGATCAACTATAAAATAATTCAGATTTACTATAATAAAATTCAGTTAACTTGTGAAATAGATTAAAGTATAGTTACCATAAAGCACATTAGCATATTCATTCCATGCACCATCGATCAATCTCAATGTCTGATTACTATTTATTCTCCAGGGACCAGATTCAAGAAACACACCATCCATACTTTAAGATTGAATTTAATTTCTAATAAGTACTGATATTCTGGTAACTAAAAGATCAAATAAAGGCAATTAATTACCTCGAACTAAATAATAAATTTTAAAAATAGTTATACATTAGTATATGGTTGTCTGAATGGGACTCTATCACTTTTCCGACATCCCGACAAAAATTGACCGGAACTAACACCAACCCTAACCTAATGCGGGCTAACTTGTCAGGGTTTTGACATTGTCGGGAAAATGATAGGATCCGTGTCTGAAAAGTTGAGTTAAAATATGTGTATTGATGACTTACCAACCAGGTCCTTTAAATCAAAATTTGCAATTGATTAGTTTCGTTTTGAGTCGTATGAAATATCTTTTACAATTTAATCTAAACTCACCACCATTGAGCCATATAATCTAATGCGAATTCCGATTTAAATAAGTTTTATGTACACATTGTCCAAACAAAAAAAACACCCCCGTTAACTTACAAATTTTGGTTTATCGGCAATGTGACGATTATGCATTAACCAAAAGAATATGTTTGAATTAGTGTTTTTATCGATGTTGATATGTCTATAATAGTAATTATCAGAAATTTATTAATCTCAAATAAAAAATAAAATAAAAAATTAAAAATGCAACCTACCCAGCATGCATTTTGAGATTTGCATTATCAGGAAGACCGGGTAAATAATGCACATAGTAGTCAGAAGCTGAATGAGCTAATGGATTTAATTATTGTATTCGAGGGTGAATATATAAAAATCAAAACCATTATAAATGTTTAAAGAAACAGAACGTTTAAATACAAGCTTTAAATACCAACCATTAGCTGCATTTGTGGTTTTAGCAAGGGCAGCAAGGACAAGCCCCAACTTTAAGACTGAGGGCCTCAAGTTATCCTTCATACTTAAGGACTAATTTTTAAAAGAGAGAATTTGAATTTTTTTTTTGTTCACTTTTACGTGAACGGTAACTTTTAATTAATTCTTGAGTAACCGTTTCGCAAACAAAAGCAGAATCTATTATATACCCTAGTATGGCATAATGAAGTTCAATTTCATTGGCTAGTCAACAAGAAGTTCTAATTGGCTAAAATTTAACGTGAAAAACCATAACTTAGACTACCATTGCACTCTAACATTCTCCCTATTACTTGTTAGTATAGTACGGGGCAGCAAAAGATATCTACTAAATACAGAACTAAAAAAGCGTCTAGTTTAGCTAAGAATAATATGAAACAGCATGATTAAAAATCAATTTGATTGGCTGATCACGAAAGTTCAACTTTGCTTATCTGTTATATGCAAACTAAGTTACATTACCGTTACATATTAACTATTCAAAGCGTTATGTAGTTCGTTCGTCTACTTCAAATTTAATCTGGTATAATCAGATTCAAATAAAAAGTTTTACTATGAATAAGGATCGAAATCGGTTAGTCGATTAGTTGACTAATCGACTAATCAGTTAGAATTTATATGAACAATAGAATTAAATTTGCATAAATTTTCAGACATTTTTGTTCTAAATTCTGGTCAAAATTTTATTTTGACCAGAATTTAGAAAAGTTTGGGCCAAAAAATGCATATTTAATAAAATATGTCCGGTTTTAATAATATTACCTTTTTTTAGAATTATCCGGGTAATTGATTTACATTAGCCAATCAAACGAATGTCTGCCCATGAGTAATCAACTAGTCGGCTAATTTAATTAGTTAATACAGTAATATAGGACCCCGGGTAACTTATTTATACATTTTAGAGTACTTTTTGAGATTGTAACGTTTCACTAATAAAAAATTGCCACGAAAG